CTTACGCCTAGAAGTGCTCAGGGGATCATAATGCAGTTCCAGGGACTGAACTAGGGCCAGCTGTTGCAAGCACCTTACCCCACACCCCCCACACCTCCCATTCCCCTCGTACCTTTGCTCCTGCCCTTCCCTGTGATGTTTTAAGTCAGCTGGGCCCTTTTAAGGTTTCCCCTCTGCCAGTCTTGTCCACTCACCAGCACGTCACAGAGGTTCTTCTGAACTGGGGGCTCGCCCTTTGTGCTGTGGTGTCTGTGTCTTTTGCCTTGGGCTGTCTTTCAGCCACCTCTTATTCATCCTGGCCTTCTCATGCTGTGCTTCCCCTTCCCTTTGCTTGGCTGTAGCTGACCCAAAGGCTTCCGGTCATCCTTCCTGCTTTACCCCAACAAGGTTGTGAGCCCCGGAAACTACTCTTTCTTGATCTGGTCAGAGTACCCCAGAAATTCTTACTGTCTGACCGTACGGCCCTGGGGTTGACTAGAGAGCAGCAGACACATTTCACAGACATAGTCACAGCATGGACTGAGGGGAAAGGCCCAAACCACCATATACAGCCCAGCTCCCTCATTGCAAGCCCAGCCCAGCTCCTCTGTTGGCTCTACACTGCCTTTCGGTTTCAGGATTGTCTGCTCCAGTCCCCAGAGGGAGGAAGGGGAAGAAGACGAAGAACCAGCTGCTGCTCCCAGAGCTCAAGAATGCCGACTGGCTGGCCACCTGCAACCCTGAGGTGGTCTTGCACGATGATGGCTACAAGAAGCACCTCAAACAGCACTGCAACAAGTGAGTGTCCCCCTTGCCCTCCCGGTCTGCGCAGGTGGTGGGTAGGGAAATGGGCACCACCAGTGCGCCAGCATCTCATGCAGGAGCCAGAAAGGCGGGATTTGTGGTCCAGGCCAGGTCAGAAGCCTTTCGAACTCCTCATGAGAAGACCCGACCCCTCCCCAACCTGTCCGCTCCACCAGCACAGCACAGCCCGGGAATCCAGCCAGGAGCCTGGTGATCTCACGGGGCCCTCCCTCTGCTCTCAGCCCCTGCCCCAGTGTTCTGTGGCATTGGAGGTGTTTGCTAGGCTTGCATTTTAGGTGGCATTCTTTATGTCGTCAGTCTAATGGAGAGGGACAGGGAGGCACAATAGGAATTGAAACTTTTTCTTGTAAAGATCCTATTCCGAGAGTTCAGGCCACTCAGGCACAGGATGGTGATGGGTTTTCACATGTGTCACTATACAGGTTTCTCTGTCACAATGCAAAGTGCCCTTGAAAACCATCTCCTTCGGCTTCCAAGGCCAAGCAGGAATTCCCCCTGCAGAGGCCGGAACCATAATACAGCAGGGAGGGTGCTTGTCTTGCATGTGGCCGACCCAGGCTTGATCCCCAGCTTCCCATATGGTTCCCAAGTCCTGCCAGGGGTGATGATCCCAGAGTGCAGAGCCAGGAATAATTTCTGAGCACCACTAGCTGCATACCAAAACCTAGGGGGGAAACATTTAAAATAAAAAGGATCTCCCCCACCCCCAGTTTTCCTGGCAGGCAGGGGAAAATTCTGTCTTATTCTTCTGGTTATAAAGTTATGACCTTGGGTCTGGAGCGGTAGTACAGTGGGTAGTAGCATTTGCCTTGCACGCGACCAACCCAGGTTTAATCCCTGGCATCCCATAATGTCCCCCAAGCACTGCCATTAGTAATTCCTGAGTGCAGAGCCAAAAATAACCCCTGAGCATTTCTGGGTGTGACCCAAAATGCAAAATAATAATAATAATAAAGTTATTACCTTATAAATGAAGGTGTTTTTGCTAGATTTTTATCCAGTATCCCCAGAATACAAACCTAATCAACAGTTCTGTAGCTCTTGGGTTGTGTTGGGGTTTTTCCTCCTTTTCACAGATGAAATCTAATCCTTTCCTCTGATGTTTATCAAATCTTTAAAGAGAGGTCTCATTCCCAGTATTGAAAAAAAAAATAATGCTGCATACCAACGTGCCTTGGAGAAAGTAAATACCAAGCCGAGGGCACCTCCTCTTGCTAGGAGGGTCTGGGCCAGACCTGGGAGTAGGGCTCATGGGACTGGATCGGGGTCCCTGTGGGGGTCAGGGAGGGCAATGGCTGGTAAGGGTCTTGCTGATGGGTGATGTTGTCTAGCAGACTGACCGGGACTCTCTTGTATGAAGAACAACCGTATTTCATGAACAAGTGAGACGTGTAATAAAAGACACATTCTCCTTGTTACAAAAAAGCTGACAGTGCTTTGCAAAGTTAAGTGAACCTAGGACCAAATGGCCAGCTGAGAAGCTGTTTCCTAGTTAATATAAGCAGTATCAGCATTGATCTTGAGGGCTAAACTAGAATACTCACAATGAGATGGAAGAGAAGGGGTTAAACTTGGAAGACATAACTCAGGAAGAATCCATAGGGTGCGGTGAGGAATGCAAAAAGCCTCCAACTCCATGATCCTATAAGCCTTAGAGGCGGGGAGAAGCTGGAGAGGTTTTCAGAGAACGGCCCAGTGACACCTTCAGAGCTAATCCACAGATGATGAGCAGAACCAAGTATTGACCTTTGAGGAGCCCAGCCTTAAGAATAACCATCTTTCCTGGGTGTGTGCTCAGCCCTGGGAATTAAAGAACAATGCTAGGCTGGAGTGATAGTACAGTGGGTTGGGCATTTGCCTTACCTTAATGCAGCCAACCAGGGTTCGATCCCTGGCATCCCATATGGTCCCCTGTGCACCGCCAGGAGTAATTCCTGAGTGCCGAGCCAGGAATAGCCCCTGAGCATCACTGGGTGTGACACAAAAAGCCAAAGAAAAAGAATAATGCAATGAAAGCGCCTCCCCAGGTTCTGAGACTGGATGTCGCTTTTTCATTTGAGTCTAACAAAGATCACAGCCCTCTTCAGTTCAGCCAGAACCAGCCAGAACCAGAGCAGGAGGGGCCTTGTAGTTCCCCTAGTCTTTGAGCGTGAGTCTGTGGGCGGGATCCTGGCAGGGTGTCTTTCAGCCTCCACATAATAGCAGTTTCCCCGTTCCTCAGCAAGGCTCATTCAGTTGTCCTGATTCTAATTCATTGTCCTTCTGTTTATTGAATCCAAAATCTCCCTCTCTGAAATTCTCACCCTTGGATCTTGGGTCCTGGCTCTGCCCCACGGCACAACAAAGAGTAATAACGCGAAGGGACTGGCAGCTTCTGGAAGTGTGGACTCTGCCGTCCCCGGATCCTATCAGGGCTAAGATGGACTTTGGGACAGAGCCCCCTGGACAGAGTCCCCTGGCTGCACGATTCACCAGCCGTGCCACCCCCCCATTAGAAAGTGAGTGTAGAGCTGCTACCTCTGAGCGTTGCTGTGAGGATCATGAGAACTGGAGGAAGCGGCTCTGCAACCAGAGCATTATTGCTCGTCATTGTATGGCATTAGAGGCATGGATCATCCATCATCAAAGGAACTTTCAAAGGTTTAAAAACAGGGTCAGGAAGATAGCTCAGGTGCTGGGACATTCCTGGTGTGTGTGATTCCCCCCAGCATTGCACAGCCCTCAGCACCGCTGGGTGTGGCCGATACCAAAAAAAGAAGTAAATAAAGTTGAAAAACATCTGCTACAGATCCGACCCCTAAGATGTCAAGGTGATGGTGATCTGCCCAGGAGTGTGGGTAACAGCTGAAGAAAGGGGATCCCGAGCGCCTTCTGGGGAATGTTCTGTTTCCTATCTGCCTGCCGGATTCACATGTGTGTTCAGTTTGCAGATACTCATCAAGCTGTATGTTTATGCAAAGCAAAATGTACTTTCTGGAAGTATATTTCATATCACCAGGGTTTTTCTTTTTTTTCTCTTAAGAAAGAGATGAAAGAAAAAAGCAGTGCTAGCGCTCAGACTACGAATGGGCTTTGTTTGACCAAAGTAGTATGTTCAAAACCTATCTTAGCTCCCCTGCCCCACCGCTCAGATGTCTGGGGGGACCATCCGCTCAAGAGAAATTGTCCCATCTGTCTTCCGAATTGATTTGATTTGATTCGGAGAATAAATGGAAAATATTGGCTTTAGATTCTGTTCTCTTGCTGCAGATACTGCCAAGTATCAACACATTTGCTTCCCTTCAGAGAAACAGAAATGACTCTTATCTTTTATTTTCGGGAAGCCTTGCTCTGACTGAGCTGGAAGTAAGGAATTCAGCTTCTTGGGTTTTCGTTTTGGTTTTTGGGCCACCTGGCGGAGCTGAAGATGCCTTTCCTGACTGCCCAGATGGTGTTTGGGGGACCATATAGTACCAGGGATTGAACAAAGGTTGACCACATGCCTGGCCAGTAATAAGTACTCGTGTATTAACAATCCAGTACCCTCATGCTGGTTCTTCCTCAGACAGTCATCAGCTATTTCTATCAGGTAGATAAATCAAAAGTTGGAAATCTATAAATTCCAGTTGTGCTTTCAAAAAAATTGCTTGTTTTAGGGCCCTTGCCTTGCACTCATCCACATGCCCCACCCAGATTTGCCCCCTGGCCACCTCATCTGGTCTCTCAAGTCCCACCAGCTGTGATCCCTGAGCACAGAGCCAGGAGTAAGCTTTGAGCACTGACTGTGGCCCACAAACCTGTAAATATTTTTTTTAAATAGATTTTGACTGACAGCCTAGTTTAGGAAAAGTGCTGTATTGGAAAAGTAAAGCTCTTTCTAACCTTGAACTTGTTAGTTTGTATGTCGCCCTGGACCTGGAGCCTGCAGTGGTACCTTCTACCTAGACCCAAGAAGCTGCTTCCTTAGAGGCCACAGTCCTCCATTAGGAGCATCTTCTGAACCTGTGTTCCTCACCCCTTTTTACACCTGCGGACCGGCACCCATCCTGCATGCCAGTCTACAGACCAGCAGTCAGAACCAAGGCAGCAGCCAGTGGTTTTCAACCTGTCTATACCTGCGGACTGGCCCCAGTCTGTGGCTGTAGTGTTTTAAACAGCCTCGGTGGAGATGAGTTCCTCCATAAGCTTATGTAGGTGGGCTTATACTCCCCCCACCCCCATTTCTCTGATGGGCTATGGAGGCTGCTGAGGAGAAATAGCCCTCGTGCATAAATTACAGAATTGCTCTGCCCCTTCTCCCTGCTGGAGAGCTGACCATGAACAGCTGCATCCACTAGCCACAGGGCAGTGGGCTTTTTGTTTTGTTTTAAGGCCACACCTGACAGTGCGTAGGACTTAACTCCTGGCTTTGCCCTCAGTGATCACTCCTGGAATACCATGGGGCATAGGGTGGTGCTCGGGTGCCAGGAATCTAACCTGAGTGGTGCGAGGCTAGTGCCCAGCCCGCTATACTATCACTGCGGCCCCAAGGCTTGTACTTTGTACAGTAGGGGTCACCTTTACACGAGACCCATAGTGAGCAAGTTACAGAGAGTCTCCGAAACCCATTTGCAGCTTAGCCTTGTACAAGTAGCATCTTGTTCAAGAGGTGATCAGCTTCTGTGTGTTTGCACGGGGGAAGGGTGTGTGTGTGTGTGTGTGTGTGTGTGTGTGTGTGTGTGTGTGTCACTGAGCATTTCCTCCCCTCAGGCCCTCACTGTCACCTGTTTACTTTGTATCCAGTATGGGAGGATGGTGTCCTGGTTGGCATGAAAACAGGCCACACAGTAGCTGCACAACTGGTATTTAACTGTTTTGTCTGAAACGTTCCCTCAGACCCTGAGTGTGGCCCATGACCCACACAAACCAACAGAGTTGCAGGTGGACTGAGAAGACACAATTGTTCTCCAGGGCTTTGCCCTGAGGAAGGATTTTAAATATTCGTTTATGTACAGGTGGAACTGTTGTGCAGCGTGCCTCGGGCCATCAATAAATGGGGCTGGGGAGAGAGCCCCGAAGGCTGGGTGTCCACCTGGCAGCACGACCCTGTTCCCCAGCTCCCCAACACCAGAGCAGCCAGGGCCTGAGGAAATGGTAGCCAGTGGGGTGGGCAGGAAGAGATGGGGCGGGTGCACGGTGGGGTCCACTGCTCCTGGGGGTTCACAGGTCCCTGCCAGATGATGATGGGACGCATTTCTCTGTGTGGCACAGGGATAAGCAGCCTGACGTCTGCCATCGCTACCTAGGGTTTTCTCCTGCTTCACTCAGGGCACAGACTTTCCTGGTGTCAACCTGGGGCCCAGACGCAGGAGTACACAAACAGCTTTTAGGTTCTACAAATGTTGGCATTTTATGTGTTTGCCTTTTACAGGGTGCTTCTGCGTGTCCGGATGCTCTACTATCTCAAAGCAGAAATTCTGGGAGAAGCAGCCGATAAAGCGTTTGAAGGAGCTCCTGCCAGGTAAAACAAGTCAGCCTCGGCTCCCAAGGGTAAAGAATTGCTGGAAAGCGTCCTCTTTTTGGAACCGGGGGAAGCACCTAGGATTCAGGAGACCCGTGGAGAGTTACCTGGATGGTAGAAGAGGCCAGGGGAGGATCTGAATCCACTACAAGTGAAATAGAGGAGAAAACTGTTTTGGAAACAGCCTCAGAGGAGTGCTTTGGTCTTAGAGAAGGATTTTTCCCATCTGGTAGTGTTGTAAAGTTGGTTGTAAAGCAACTGTCTCTCTAACTTTCCTAATCATTGTTGGATGGGGACATAGTACTTTGATAGACTTGCTCTGACAGACGTAGACGAGAAGTGTTCCTCAGACCCTTGAGTATTGACCCTCGTACTCTTCCACGTTTAGATGGTTCTTCTGTATTTGCTAATTACGTGGACAGCAGCCTCTGAGCTCTGTACCTTGTTGTATCTTAGTTTTTGTAAGTTAGTGTTCCAAAGTCGGAGTAAGAGATCAGGGAGTAAGGCCGCTGGGCTCTCAGCCAGATACAATCGGCAGGTTGTCCATCAGATCAGCCTCTTCGTCCCTTCCCTGGACCTGTAGCTCGCTCTGTCCCTGCTCAGCCGCGCTCATTTCCAGAGGACACCGGAAGTGTTGCTGTTTTGAACTTGGCACTGAGATGATCTGGACCCCGGTTTCTTGTCTGACTTTCCCTGGAGTGGTACTAACAGGTGCACCGGTCATAGCAGCAGCTCTGAAGCAGGCTAGAGGTGAAGAGACATTGGCAGCCCTGCCCACAGAGCAGTTTGCAGTGAGGATCAGTCACTGCAAGTACACGGATTTCCCTTTTAGGCCTTTCTGCTGTAGTTACTGATCCTTCTAGTAAGGTCAGAGAGATTGGACATTTTGGCTCAGTTCTTGGGTTATCTGTGTGCAGAGAACCGGAGTCTTTGATATTTCTTAGATTTGCTCTTTCCCTGCCATGTGATTTCTTAGACAAGTGAAGGGTAGAAAGGTTCCCTTGGAGAGGGTGAGCCGACTGCACTGCCTGTCCTCTCCCTTTGTCCTTTGTTCTGCTTTCGTGAATCTGACTCACTGGCCCTGCTGAGATTTAATATTTGATAATGGAAAAGTTACCACGAGGAGTGAAATAACAGTTGGTCCATGACAAGTTCCACGCACCACTGAGGCAGAGCTTTGGACGCTAGAGTGAGACAGACAGGGGACACTACTGGAAAGGTAGAAGCTGAAGAACACCATGCCCACAGTACAAAGCTCCAAGCACTGCAGAGGCCTGATCGCAGGAGCTGGGTGGTAGAGAGAGACACTGTCATGTTCTCTGAAGACTTCAGAGAGTAACACTAAAGATACGATAAATGAAGACGAGCTAAGGCCCCACGTAAGCTGTCAGAGATTGGGAACGGAGTGAGAAGGCAGTAGGTGGAGCACTTGCCCAGCGTGTGGCTGACCCAAGTTCAATCCTGGACACACCATACAATCCTGCACACTGCAGGAGTGATTCCTGGAGGGCAGAGCCAGAAGGACCCTCAAAACAAACCAAAAATAGCTGTCAGGAATCGAACAGAAACTCAGGACTTGGTGGCATTTATAAATCTAATTCTCCCTCTGTCTAGTCCCTGGGGCAAGTGACACTTTTCCCTAGGTCCTGGAGCAATGCAATTTGTGGCTAGTTTGACTCAGCAGACCCGTAGCACACCTCTGGCAGTCTGTTTCCATAGCTTCACATGCCCCGGTGCAGGCTTGCCTGTTTTCACGTGGTTCTTAGGCTCTCTGCTGTGGAACCAAGATGGTCTGGGTGCTGTTCTTTTCAGCCTATGCTCATTTGTGATTCCTCCCCTTTGGGCACAGTTACCTTCAGATGACTCACATATGGACGACTTTTGTCGTGACTTGCATATGCCTCCATTTGTTATTTCTGTCTCTAAACATGCAGCAAGAGACGTGGCTTCCTACGAGAGTTTGGTCAGTAGCTCTGGTGTTATTTTCTGGCTGTGTGGAAGGAACTTTGAGTCTGTGCCCTTCCTCCACAGGGACCTGGAAGTGCCTCTGCCCGACATTGACTACGTGGAGATCCCCGTGGATTGGTGGGACGCCGAGGCCGATAAGTCCCTCCTGATTGGAGTGTTCAAACACGGCATGTATCCTAGGGAATGTTCGTTCCTTTCCTGAAAATCCCCATCCTGTCGTGTGCCTCTTAGAAGGTAGACCCTCCCCCCTGCCTTCTTAGACTCCACCTGATGACTATGTGATCTGGGAAACTGCAGTGATGGTTGTATCTATCTATTCATTCATTCATTCATCATCCTGTTATTCGTCGATTGCCTCGAGCAGGCCCCAGTAACGTCTCTTTCATCCTAGCCCTGAGATTTTATTCAAGGCTCATTAGGAGAATGAGACCCATCATTGTTACTGGTATTTGGTATATTTGGTACGCCACGGGGAGTTTGCCAGACTCTGCCCTGTGGGCAGGCTACATTCGATAGCCTGCAAGTTTGTCCAAAGTAGAAATGAGATACTAAGATGTCATAAAAAGATGTCCTGATAAGATGTCGCGCGGCCTCGAAGCTGGGTTTTATAGTCTCTGAGTCTTGGCCGCTGATGGGATTACACGGCGCCAGGGGGCCAGGTGGTGGGTGTGACCCCCGCCTACTGGAATTTGGAGGATCTGGGTGGAGGATGCTCAACTCCAATCCGAGTAGGCTTGGAGATCTCGGCCCCGGAACCTGCGTAGCTTTGTCCCTCTGCCAGTACCTTCATGTGTGCGGAGAGCGGTCTCGGCATGGTGGTGGCTGGTCCTGGAGGTCTTCCGCTGCCGGAGCCCTGGTCGGGGCGGGGAGGAAAGCTCAACCCTCTCCCCTCCAAGGGGCCCCGGTGAGGACAGCCAGGCACGGGGGCAGGAGACTGCACTGCACATAAGTGTGTTTGTAAGTAGGAAGAGCATTTCTCCCCCCGCTTTGATTCATGCAGTCAGTTAATCAAGTTTATACTGTGTCTTATCAGGCCCTGAGCTAGGTTCTAAACATATAATGATGAGTGAAAACAGACCCGGGTTCTGTTCCCACAGCACCCACAGAGTCATGAGAGAGACAGTAATCAAGTAACCACAGGAAGGACTGAGTGAAAAAGAGCTTGAGGCACCACAATTTCTCAGCATTTTCTTTGTGTGGGCAGCACTTGTCATGGGGATGGCAAGAGGTTGCAGTTGGAATCACAAGATAAAGTGCCCACCAGCTCCTCAGAGAAAAAGGACCAGGTGTGGCCTGCAGGATGGAAGATAGAACTGCACCAGCCCTGCTGTTAGAACAAAAGGCAATTCAGACAACTACCCAGCCAGGTTGCAGTCAGGTATCTTACGTGGTCCCCATGTGTCTCTGAACAGACTGCACAGCGAGAAATGGCCTCTACATGCTGGGTCCAGCACAAGAGGACATTCAAGATCAGTTCCCTCCCTGCCTCCTGATTTTTGTTCAGTGTGGCTGTAGTTTTGGGTCATTGACAAGACCAGATCCTGTCTCCTAAGATTATATTAGATTTAATAACATAATAACAGTCTCATGCATTGGCTTTTAAAAGAAAAAGTAGAAAAGTAGATTTTTTTTTCCCCTTCATTTTTTTGCCTCTCATTTTTTGATATCTCTTCTGAATCAAAAATGCCCCAACTGGGTCCAAAGAAATAGTACAGCACGTAGGGTGCTTGTCTTGTACATGACTAACCTTGGTTCAGTCCCCAGTATCCCATAGGGTAGGTAACCCTGAGCACTGCCGGGTATGCCCAAAAACCAAGACAGTGACTGCCCCATCTGTTGTTTACTTAGGAGATATATTGAGAGGTAATTCCCAGGGTC